ATCACCCTAGACTCACTATTGGTCCAAGGAGACAACACATGACCCAAGCAGGAAAATCAGAGTCCCTCTCTGAGAACTGAGACAGAACAGTTCCCTCTTTCCCCTTGGAGCATGAACTACATAGGCTGTGACCCCGGAGTTGCTGGCAGTCTAATAGGCATGGGCACACCCCCTAACCCCATAACGGGGAGAAGCCCAAGAGAATGAAGCCAACAGACAGACAGATCGGGCCCTTTTGTTCCACCTCTACATTTCAGGGGCCACTCCTGTAAAACAGTAATTTTTGATATTTTGCTCAGGCTAGTTTGAATTGGATTTATATAATTTGGCATCCGAAAGCCCCAAGAATACAAGCTTAGCTTGAAATATTGTTTGCTTCATGTGTGTCAATTTTGTTTTCCCCATTACATTGGAATTCTTGTGAGATCAGAGTTTTTGCCATAGTTCTTGGGACATCCTCCTGCACTTCTGACAGTACCAGGTTTATTATAAGAGTTTCAAAGCTATTTTCTTTTTAAAAATATAAGTTTGTATTGATTTCAGAGGGAGTGATAGAAACATCAATGATAAGAATCATTGATTGGCGGCCTCCAGCATACCTCCTTACTAGGGATAGAGTTTGCAACCTGGGCATGTGCCCCAACTGGAATCAAACAGTGACCTCCTGGCTCATAGGTGGATGCTCAACCACTGAGTCACACCAGCTGGGCCTCAAAACTATTTCCTGATTGCCTAGGCTGGTGTGGCTCAATTAGTTGAGCATCATCCTGTGCACAGGGGTTGGCCGGTTCCATTCCTGGTCTGGGCATGTGCCCAAGCTGCTGGCTCAATACCTGGTGTGGGGAATGTGGGAGGAGGCTGACCTCTGTAGGGAATGGATGTTTCTCTCTCCATCTCCTTTTCCTTCTCTTTAAAAATCAATAAAAAATATTTTTAAAAAAATTTTCTGATTTATGTGTTCTACTTACATGTCATAAAACAAAAATAGAAATAAAAGTTATGCTTACACATCTTTAATTTCAGCATTTTTCTTGGCTCTATTCATAAAATCTCCATTTTCCAAGTCTTACGCTTGCACAAAATCTGGTATTTTGTAAGATGAGGTCTTAAAAATAAACAGTTGATCACGTGTTGCTAGAGTGTCCTGGAGCACAAGAACAAGAGTCACAATTAGCAGAGATTGGGCTACACACAACTGACATTTTACTCTCCCCAAATTAGATCAATAGATTTTTACAAAAGGACAGTCATGCCTAATTTAAATTTGTAAAAAATCAAGTTTTAAAGGGAATGCATGAAAAATACAGAGAAATAAAAAAATTAACTTTTAAATTGTTTCATTTCATCTTTTGGGGACATTTTTATATAGTTAAGGTTTATATGTGTGTGTGTGTGTGTGTGTGTGTGTGTGTGTGTGTGTATACATGTGGCCTGTGTGTGTTTAGTTGTGAGTGTGTGTGTGTGTGTGTGTGTGTGTGTATGCATACAGCTTTGCATAGGGTACAATTCCCTCAGTGGAGGCTCTGGGGGAGAAACCCTAACCCTAAACCTAACCTTAACCCTAATCCAAGGGCTACAGAAATATTATATTTACTGACAAATGAAACTGATGCACTGACCAGAGGGAAGCACCACAGTGTCTTACCTTTCATCAGACTTCCATAGAAAATAAATGATTTTTCTCATTCAGAGATTGTGTTCCTAAGCTAATTAGTATTTTTAATCAGGTCCAATAATATTGAGCCCAAAATCTTGGCTAATTTATTTATTTATTTATTTATTTATTTATTTATTTATTTGCATAGATTCTGAGTGCTCCATGGCAGGCACAGTTCTAGGGGCTTTACATGTGTTAACTAATGTAGTTCTCCAACAATTATATGAAGGTTGTTTGTGGTAGGCAGAATTTTAAAAATGTTCCTCCCTCCCCCTAAGAGTCTTCTTCCTGGTATTCAATCAGAGACAGTCTAGGCACTGCTCTGAAGGGACTTTGCAGATGAAATTAAGGTTATGGAATTTAAGATAGGGAGGTTGTCCTGGATTACTTGGGTAAATCCAATGTCATCATTTGAGACCTTAAAAGCGATGTGGTGAAAGAAAGGTGATGCAGAAAGGGAGGTCAGAGGGGTTCCAAGTGTGCAGAGGACCTGCCCTGCCATTACTAGCTTTGAAGATGGAGAAAGAAATGCAGGTGGCCTCTGGAAGTTGAAGAACACCCCCCCCCCCCCCCCCAAAGCCAGCAAGGAAATGGCAGCTGCGTAAAACTGAGTTTTGCCCAAACCTGAAAGTGGTTTCTCCCCCGGAGCCTCCAGGGAGGAACCTCGGCAGTCCTGCCATTTGACCATAGCAGTTCTGGATTAGAGGAGACTACGGAGACACCTTAACCAAATGCCTCTGGTGGCGGTTCATCACACTGGTGGGTACAGTGGGGAGCAGTTTTCAAGAATATTATTGAGACAACAGAGGAAACTTGCACTTGGCCCATGCGGTAGATAACATTTTATCAGTTTTGAATTTCTTGAGTGTGGTAATTGTGATTTTTGCATTGAATTGTGACTAGCAATGAAAAGTGGATTTATTTTGAGAATCCCAAATGCACAAAATCATGGGTTGATGCAGGACAACCATCAACATGGACTGCAAAGGCCAAATCGCTTCAGAAAGAAGACAGTGCTCTGCATTGGGTGGGATCAGGAAGATGTGGTGTATGATAAGCTTCTAAAACCAGGTGAAACCGTTAATAATGATCTCTACTGACAACAAATAATCAATTTGAACCACACTTTGATCGTGAAATGACCAGAATGTTCCAGAAGACACGGCAAAGTAATTTTGCTTCATGATGATGCATCATCACACACTTCAAAACCAGTTAAAGACACATTAAAAGATCTTGCCTGGGAAGTTTTAACCCACCCACCAAATTCACCAGACCTTGTTTCAAATTACCACTTGTTCTGATGGATGGCACCTACACTTTCTGAGCAGCACTTCAAATAGTACAAAGAAGTGGAAAATTGGGTCTCTGAATGGTTTGCCTCAAAACAAGAAAAGTTCTATTGGGACGGTATCCACAAATTACCTGAAAGATGGGGGAAATGTGTAGCTAGCGATGGATATTACTTTGAATAAAGCACCTTTGATGTTTCTCTTGAAATTGTCATGTTTTCTTTGATAACAAAATCTGTCATTATTAACCGGTACACCTATTATAAGGTGTCCAGATGTCCCGCTTTTGGCAGGACAGTCCCGATTTTTAACAATTTGTCTCGTGTCCCTTGGCGTTTTAAAAAAGCCTTGATTTTTGGAAAGAATGCACAACAAGCTAGGGAACAGCAGGAGAACGGGAAGGGAATATAGGTTTTCGGCAGCCATGTGGCTATTTAGCCAGGATATGAGTTTTATATTATTTTTGTTAGTTTTATAATGTTAAACTTTAATAATAAATAATTGTTGAGAACTGATTATCGAGAACTGCTTATTAAAATTCGCATTGTTGATCAGTTGTTAGAATTCGACCACCATTGTTTGGACTTAATGAACAATGGCATTTTTGGGGATTGGCAATGACGAAAACATTTTGTAACTGTCTCTCAGATTATACACATCATACTGTGTGCTAGTAAGCTAGTTAAACAAGTGATGTTATTACAAATCAGCTATTCAGATAATTTAGGTAATTTATTTATTTCATAAATACATAAATTTTCTTGAATTTAGCAGATAGTACTCATATTATTTATAGTTTAAATATATATTTTATTGATTTTCTACAGAAAGGAAGAGAGAGGGATAGAGAGTTAGAAACATTGATGAGAGAGAATCATTGATCAGCTGCCTCCTGCACAACCCCTACTGGGGATGTGCCCACAACCAATGTACATGACCTTGACCGGAATCGAACCCAGGACCTTTCAGTCCACAGACCAATGCTCTATCAACTGAGCCATACCGGTTTCGGCTATTATTTATATTTTATAGTGGCAGCAAAAAGTCTAGTGCCAGCCTTGAAAGTGACACGGTTATACATAATTTTAATTTATTTATTATACTTATAAATTGTACTTACGTTAAAATTAAAAAAAAATATATATATATATTACAATACTATTTTTGCGTTCTATGAAAATTTTTGTTGCTCCATATAGACCAAATTTTTAATCAAGAACACCTTCCCCCCCTCCCCCGTCAATGGTGTCCCACTTTACCAATGTTAAAATCTGGTCACCTTAACCTAGTATTATATGAAACTAGGGTTAAAGCAAATGTATAAAAATGTTAAGTGGGTGGATTTAGATGAAGTATATACTTATGTGTATTTAATTTATTTGCAACTTTTCTGGGGGAAAAAATCAAGTTTTTCTAAATCAAAAGTTGAGGGGGATTGAAGGGGGTGCGGGAGGAATCTCTGGATCTAGAGTGGATTTGCAATGAGTAGGAGGGAAGGAAGCGGGAAGCCCAGATGGGGAGCTACTGCTGCGGTCAGGATGACAACGGGGATAAAGCACCCCTTTCCCGCCCCCCCCCCCCAGCGACCCCTGTGAAGGAAACCCGAGTGACTATAGTCCCCACAGCTTTTCCCTCGAAAAACGAACTTCTGTGGGGAAGGGGGGCCGCTTTCCAAGCTGATTAGGATCAACTACTCGCGCATGCCACTAAGCTTGCGCCTGCGCAGAGGGAGCTGTGCCCATGGGAAGAGTCCACATCTACAGCGTTAATAGGGGGGAGACGGCACCCTAAAGTCCTAGGTCCTTCCATAGTAGGGTATAGCCTACGTACTAGAAACCATATTCCCAGATTAGTTACTCTTTTTGTCTGAGTGGATTTCTTAAAACTAGTACTTAATTGATACTATGGGCGAGTTATACAAAAATGCTTGTGTGCGGCGCTCCCCCGCCCGGTGCGTGCGCCAGGCCACGCGCGCCGGGAAGCGGAAGCGGAAGTGTGGTGGCTCCGGGAGCGTCCCTGGAGTCGGCGGTGCAGAGCCCTGGACGCTTGCCATGGAGGGGTCTCGCGAGCCGCTGCTGGACGCCAAGGACAAGGTAAGCCCTGGGGCCGGTGGCAGGCGGGGAAGCGGGCTTCTGGTGCGAGAAAGGTCATTCCCTGAATTGTTTTTCCTGCTTCCGTTTCAGGTCACCAACCAGGTGAGTGCGTGGCAGCCCCGCCCGGTCCTCGCTGGCCTCCGTGGGGAAGGGGCGGGCCTTGGGCCACCGTGAGCCTTCCCCAGCTTTCTGCCCCCCGCCCCGCCAAGTCCAAGGCCCGTGTCCTCAAGCCGGTCCTCGTCGTCCCCCCACCCTGCATGGCCCCGCATCGCTCCTTCCTCTTTGCCACTGCCTACTGCCATCGTCATTTAACCTCCCCACCCTCCCCAGCCCCAAAGAGTACAGGCCAAGTATTGCTCTTGATTAGGTTCTATTTATTCAAAATTAGTTACACAGTGCTTTTTAATGTTTTTATTGCCTTTTGGAGAGAGGAAAGGAGAGGGGAAGAGAGAGAGAGGATCATCGATAAGATGGAAACATCTAGCTGAGAACTATCCGCCGGCTGCCTCCTGCGCGCCCTCTACTGGGGATTGAGCCTGCAGCCCCTGCAGGTGCCGTGACCAGTAATCCAACCAGCGACTTCTGGGTGCATGGGTCCAGGCTCAACCACTGAGCATACCGCGGGGCTAGGTACACAATATGTTTCAGAATGATCATTAAGGGAGTAAATTACTAAACTTTACAAAGATAGCACTGCAAACATTTTCTTAGTCTTAAAAGCCAGTTATTTTAAGAATGGAGAGTATACCTCTTTAATCTTCCAATGTGTATGCAGGATGTCCCCCAAAAAATGTAATCACAGTTTAAGAGCTGATAGCTACAATTTTGTTGTTGTTGTTGTTTTGTTAATCCTCACCCGGGAATATTTTTCCATTGATTTTTAGAAAGAGTGGAAGGAATGGGGAAGAACACAGAGAAACACTGATTTTAGAGAGATAAATTGATTAGTTGCCCTTCCCTCATCCCCCAATACATACCCCCTGACCAGAGCCAGGGATGGAGCCTGTAGCTGAGGTACGTGCCCTTGACCATAATCGAACTCGGGACCCTTCAGTCCGCAGGCTGATGCTCTATCTATTGAGCCATCCTGGCTAGGGTTGATAGATCAATTTTGAAAATGAAATGTATTTAATAAACAGTCTTTATAATTATTCAAAGTGTGTGTGCATTTTTTGGGGGACACCCTATATATTTATACTAAGAATAAGAATTTGAATTCTGAGGTATTTCTTAATCCTGATTCTTTGTTAACAAGTGTTCTTGTCCTATTTTAGCTAATAAACTGTTTTTAGACAACACACTTCCCAGAAGAACAATACTAAGACCGTATTGTTTTAGATCAGGAGTCACCCAAGTCCATACAAAATACTGTAAGAGAGTAAGAAAGAATGAGAATACAGTGGGCTGAGAGATGACCAAGGACTGCTCTGTGTCATTTGTCTCCAATTTATCTTGCTGTTTGTTGTTTTTGAGGATTCCTGGGAGAACTCAGAGAGATCATAATCCACATTCTTTTTTTTTTTTCTTTTTTTTTTTTAAATATATTTTATTGATTTTTTACAAAGAGGAAGGGAGAGAGATAGAGAGCTAGAAAGATCGATGAGAGAGAGACATCGACCAGCTGCCTCCTGCACACCCCCTACTGGGGATGTGCCCGCAACCAAGGTACATGCCCTTGACCGGAATCGAACCTGGGACCTTTCAGTCCGCAGACCGACTCTCTACCACTGAGCCAAACCGGCTTCCATAATCCACATTCTTGTCTGGCTTTGTTCAAAGTTACTGGGTTAGTGCACTTTGATTCAGTCTTTCATAACTCATTTTATGCATTCACTTATAATGAATCATCTTTATTGGAGTAAGATATCTTGAAACTGAATCATACTAGATTATAAGGTTTTAAAAATGGAACCTTTTTATTGGGAGGGGAGTGCTGTTTTTTAAAACAACACAAACTTATTATCTTACCATTCTGGAGGTCAGGAATCCAAAATTAGTGTTGTAGGACTAACAGCCAAGGTGTTGGCAGGGCGGTGTCCCTCTGGAGGCTCTTAGAGAGAATCTGTTTTCTTGCCTTTCCAGCTAGAGGCTGCTCACGGTCCGTGGCTTGTGAGTTCTGCCTCCATCTTCCAAGCACGTCATTCTAACGTTGGCTTTTGTCCCTTTTTTTTCTGCTATCATCATCATTATGTTGCCTTGTCTGACTCTGACTCTCCTGCCTCCCTGTTATAAGGACTCTGATTACATTGGGCCCACATGGATAATAACCCAGGAATCGCCTCAGGATTCTCAATTTAGTCATATCTACAAAGTCTGAGATTCAAACTCATGTCTGCCTGACTTTAGATTCTGTGCTTATTAAATTTAATAAACCATGGTGCTAGATTGCCCAGCACTAGAGTTGTAAGATATCTATTGCTTCACACTCTGATATTTGGAATCATTTTTGAAGTAATTCATGACTCTTACATAGATGTCTAATTAGAACTCTTCATAGATGAATGGTTGTTCCTGTTGCTGCCACATTTTATTTATTTTCTTGGCCATTTTTATGGAATAAGTCAAAAGAAATATGTTGTATTGACACAATATCTAGTGCCATTTTCCCTCTTCCTGTGTATAAGAAATAATGACTTAAGTTTTGTACAGTGTATATAGTGCTTCATAAATGTGCAACTGTTTTTGTTCTATGTATTGTGTTAGATGTACCAGTTGCCCCAAAGGCATTTGTAGTACAATGAATGGGGGAGAGAAACACACCCACAGATAACTGGTATACACGGCAAAATGTTCTAAATGCTAGGGTATAAGAAGTGACACAGAACATTCATAGGAAGGCTGAGTAAACCAGGAAAGACTTCACAGAATGGGTAGAATATGAGAGGAGTTTTAAATTTTAAGATGTTTGAGAGTTGAATGCCAAGAGGCATGAACAGCATGAGTAAAGGTTGAAAGTTAAGAAGAGATGCAGTTTGAATACAAGTGCGAATAGCTCTTCAGGATTTCCATGACATGACTTTAGTGCTAGGTGAATGGTTGGTAACTAGCTCTTAGGGCAGCAGACTTTACAGGTTTGGAGCCAAGAAAGACTTTAGAGAAGAAACTGATTAAGAGGCTTCAGTAAAATTTAAGGCAAGATTTTAAAAATGGGCTTTCAGTTGGTTTGAAACAGTGAAATTGGGAAGAAGGGAATAAATGCCAATTGACTGAAATAAAATATTCATACATGCTTTGAGTAAGGGGGAGAGAAAAATCAAAGTTGATTACAGTTCAAATGGGAATCACTAGAAAAGTGGGGGCCATCAGTAGGAATGAAATGAGGATGAAAAACGTTTTTGAGCCAGGACCGGTTTGGCTCAATGGATATAGTGTCGGCTTGGGGACTGAAGGGTCCCGAGTTCGATTCCGGTCAAGGGCATGTACCTTGGTTGCGGGCACATCCCCAGTGGGGGGTGTGCAAGAGGCAGCTGGTCGATGGCTCTCTCTCATCGATGTTTCTAACTCTATCTCTCTCCCTTCCTCTCTGTATAAAATCAATAAAATATATAAAAAAAAAACGTTTTTGAGGAAAGATGATATGTTTGTCATTGCTGTGCCATTGCACTAGTAGTGAATGTGTTTAATGGGAAAGATTTTACTTTTTTGGTATTATTTTTACTGGGTGTATTAACATCTAAGAGGTAACTGGTTACCTGTAATATTTTTTGGTTATTTGTATTTGCTAAAATTTCTATAAACTAATGTAGTTCAGATTATATAGTTAGGGGAATACATTTTTGGTAAATCATAGATCATGATAAGCTTATTGATAAAGTTATTTTCTGCCAGTTGCTCTACTTTAGTTGTCTATTGCTGCATAACAAACTACCCAAAACTTAGTTAATTGAAACAACTATTTAATTATTTTAATTATCTCTTAGGACTCTGGGTTAACTGGATTTAGCTGAGTTGTAGTTTCTACTCCCTGTCATTTCAGCCAGAGCTTTAGTCATTCAGGAGCCTAATTGGGCCAGAAGTCACTCACATGGCTCAGTGCTGACCTTGGCTGAGAGCTCAGCTAGAGCTGTTAATGGGAGTGACTTGGTTCTCCTTCACATGGCTGTCCACATCATGGTGGCTGGGTTCCAAAAGGGAGAGCCCCAAGAGCCAGCGTTCTATGAAGAAGGAGACAGACACTTCCGATTCTCCTAAGGCCCATGCTTGAGGATTCCAGAAAGCCTCTGCTGCCTTATTCTGCTGGTCAAAGCAATCCCAGGGACAGCTCGGTGATTTCCCCATACAGAGGGGAAAATAAGCGCCCTCTCTCTCTCTCTCTCTCTCTCTCTCTCTCTCTCTCTCTCTCACTCTCTCTCTTTTTAATATATTTTTATTGATTTCAGAAAGAAAGGGAGAGGGAGAAATAAGGTTAGTGATGAGAGAAAATTATTAATGGGCTATCTCCTGCATGCCCCCTAATGGGAACTGAGCCTGTTCCATAATTGAACTGATGACCTCTTGGTTCAGGGGTCAGTGGCTCAACCACTGAGCCATCCTGGCTGGTTAAGCTCCATTTATTTATTTTTATTTTATTGATTTTTTACAGAGGAAGGGAGAGTGGTAGAGAGTTAGAAACATCGATGACAGAGAAAACATTGATCAGCTAACTCCTGCACACCCGCTACTGGGGATGTGCCCGCAACCAAGGTACATGCCCGTGACCGGAATTGAACCTGGGACCTTTAAGTCCACAGGGTGACGCTCTTTCCATTGAGCCAAACCGGTTAGGGCTAAGCTCCATTTCTTGATGTAAGGAAAATCATGTACATACACCAATTTTTAGAAGTTATCTTTGGAGACTAACAGAAGTTCTAAACATATTAACTCAATAAATATTTATTAGAACATTCACTTTGTACCAAATATTATTCAGTAGGTTCAGTACTAAACTAGGTTGATTATGCTCCTGCTCTCTCTCTTTTTTTTTTTTACCGCAACCAAAGTACATGCCCTTGACTGGAATCGATCCTGGGACCTTTCAGTCCGCAGGCCGATGCTCTACCGCTGAGCCAAACTGGTTTCGGCTATTCTGTCTATTTTTAATTCATTTAAATAGTCACATTTAGTTAGTGGTTGCTGTATTGGAAAGCTCAGGTCTACCATGTAGAAGATGCTAAACATTCATGTCCCACTCTACTTTCTTGACTTATTAGAACTTAGTTTAATTCCAAATAGTGATCATGTTGCAGGTAGGTATAACAAAAGTGTGCGGAGTATGGAATCAGGCAAATTTGGTGGGGAATACCAGCTTTGCTAGTTTTGTGTCCTTGGATGAGTGGTTTAATCAGTCATTTCCTCATAGCACTTTTGAGAGAGATTAATGTGTACAGAACACTTAACATTCTTTCCATTTGAAAACTTCCATTTAAAAAGAAGAGAACATAAAAATGTATATTTTGTGACTAGCTATAAAAGTTACATACAGATAAAGACTTGAAATGGGGGCACAGGAATAAGAAAATAGTCTTTAGGATGGAGTTGTGTGTGATTATTTTTTAATTTTCTCCTGTGTTGTGTTTTGAGAAATAAAAATGAAATTTAAACTGAAATGGTCTTTATCTATTTTATCTTTATCAGTTTTACCTTTTACTTTACATTTGTTTTCTGACTATTTTTCTTCTATGTATTCATTTTACTTCGAGATTTTTTTTCCCCTACTAACTTTTTTCTTTGTAAACTATTTTCTTCACTCTATAAGAATTTTAAGGCTACATTACTTCATTCTTAATATTCTCCATACTGATAAGTGTGCTCTGTTTTGATTTTTTTTTTAAATATCATATGCAGTTAATTTTTATTTAAGGCTAAACTACATTTTTTAAAAGGACTGCTTTTAATTTTCACTTAAGTGTTCAGTTTAGAATTTTGGAAATTCTCATCTCATAAACCTAAACCCAGCTTTCTTTAACCCATGAATACTAACTTGGCACAAGGAGTGTCTGAATGGCAGCTGTCATTTTCTCATCTGCCAGTTTCACCATTGTAATGGTCAGTGGATTCCAACTGTTTTTCTTAATTGCTTTTCTGCTTGAGATAATTCAGAGTTTTATTTCAGACTTTGAGAGTCACATAAGCAATATTTTACTCTACCATTTTACTATGGACAAAAAAAAAAAAAAAAAAAAAAAGGAACTTCTTACACCAAGGAGTTGTATAGGATGAATAAGTTTAAAATGGATCCAGTTATATTTTTGGATATCACCACTGAACTGATATAAAATATCTGTCTCTAATCATGAACCCCCTTGAATTGTGTTCTTGGATTTTTAGCCACTTATTGAACATTTTTATTTAGATGTTCCTTCTCATTTCTTGGTAATATCTTCGTACCTAAGATATATAAAGTCCTGGTTGATAACATGATATCAGAATTCTCTCAGTCATCTGGGCTCAAATTTTTATAGTTGTTTTTCTTTGATACCTCCCATAACTGTGTAGATAATCATCAGTACCTAGTGATTCATTCTTTAGGTTCAGCTCAATCCTACTTGTCACCACCTTCGCTCAGGCATTTAAAATTTTATACTTGGATTATTGTATTTTGCTGCCACCAGATGTCTATTTTTAAGTCAATATACTATTTTATATCATTCTCTGTGATATAACATTCTCTTTGCCTACAGGAAAAGTTTAAATGACTTATATGACATATTGCTTTCCATAATAAGATAAAGAACCTGAGAGTATTTTGGAAACCTCTGAAAATTCATATAATTTGTAAAGAATTGGTGGCCTCTTGATCACCTTTTTTGGCTTTATTTTCCAAACTTCCTTACAAAAGCCTTCCAGTTTAAGATAGGAAATATGTTCTTCCTTAACCAGATTTATTTTTCTTTTTATCTCTAGTTGGTTCGGCTTAATATTTATTAGGCACTTATTTGGTAGGTGTGTATTTATGGAATTTATAAATAAGCCACATTTTTCTCTCAATTTTAGTTCTTTTTATTCTTCAAATTGAGTTTACAGTTATCCCTTCTGTAACGTTTTCTCTTGATCACCCAGGCCTACAATAACTTTCTCTTTTCAACCAGGAACTCACCAATTTATATGTGCAAAATAACATCTATACAAAACATAGACAGGCTAATAAATTATTTTAACTTTTCCAAGTTTTATTGAAATATAATTGACATAAAGCACTGTATATTAGTTTAAGGTACAGCACATAATGACTCCACACAGATTCTGTGAAATGATCACCACAGTAAATTTAATTAACCTTCATCTCATCCTATCTAATAAAAGAGTAATATGCAAATTGACCATCACTAAAACACACAAGATGGCCGCCTCCATGTGGACACAAGATGGCCAGCAGGGCTGCAGGGAAGGGCAGTTGGGGGGACCAGATCTGCAAGGGAGGGCAGTTGGGGGCAACCAGGCCTGCAGGGGAGGGTAGTTTTTTGGGGGGGACCAGACAAGCTAGGGAGAGCAGTTAGGGGCTGGTGTGGGGGGGAGCAGTTAGGAGTGACCAGGCCTGCAGGGGAGGGAAGTTGGGAGGGACCAGGCCTGCAGGGGAGGGCATTTGAGGGGAATCAAGCCTGCAGGGAAGGGGAGTTGGGACTGGGCTTGCAGGGGAGGACAGTTAAGGTTGAAAAGGCCTGCAGGGGAGGGCAGATAGGGGAGACCAGGCTGGCAGGGAAGCAGTTAGGCATCGATCAGGCTGGCAGGGAAGTGGTTAGAGGGGGATCAAGCTGGCAGGCAGGCGAGCGGTTGGAAGCCAGCAGTCCTGGATTGTGAGAGGGATGTCCCAGATTGGAGAGGGTGCAGGCTGAGCTGAGGAACACAAACAACAGCCTCTAGTAAAATTATAAAAAGAAGAAAATAATTTAAATTTGAATATCTGTGTAACTACAATCAAAACTCAAGAAATGGAGCATTACCAGTCCTGGAAGTCTAACTACATGCCCCTCACCAATCAAACCTCTTCCTTCCTATCCTTTTGTGATAATCATATTGTCACTTCTCATAGTTTTGCCATCTAGTTTTGCATTCCTAAACTGTTATATTTTCTGTTTCTCAAGTGAATTAATCAAGTAATTTTACTCATTTCAGCATTTTTGATGTTAAGTGTAGCAGAAGTTCATTCATTTTCATTGCTGCATTTCATTGACCATTCTAATATTGATGTACATTTGAGTTATTTATAATTTAGGGCTATTATGAATAAAGCTACCAGAAACATTTTGATATCCTGTGTACATATACACAAGTTTTTCTAGGTTGTATTCCTAGTTGAATCTCCGGATTGCAAGGCGTGCATAACTTCAGCTTTCTGAGGTAAAGCCAATTTTTCCAGAAGATTGGCCCAATTTAGACTCCCATCAACGGCATATGACACATCTTTTCCCCCCCTAATACTTAGAATTGTCAGACTTAAAAATTTGCTATTTTGATAGGTGTGTAGTGGTATTGGTATTTCATTATGGTTTAAAATTGCATTTCTCTGTGCCCCTTTTATATGTTTATTCATTGGTATTTGTTATATACCTACTATCTTTTTCTATTTTTGTGTGGGATGCTCTTATTTAAAATGTACATATACAGTCTTTTTGCTTATTAAATACATTAACCTTTTATGAGCACCAACCTGACCTTAATGCTGTAGCTGATTGGTCCGAAGCCAGTCGAGGAAATTTTGGTCCTCACACCAATCCCACCTTTTAAAAAGAGAAAGTTATTAACAAGCAAAGCTTTTACACAGTAAGCATTAATTTGGTAGCAAAAGGTATCTGTCAGTAGACAAGTACTTTTTGTGAGCACCTGCTAATTCATCCACTCATGGCTTTACATTTTATTTTTTTTAAAAAAATGTTTTTATTGATTTCAGAGAGGAAAGGAGAGGGAGAGAGAAACATCAATGATGAGAGAGAGAGAATCATTATTGAGCCAGAAACCCGGGCATATGCCCTGACGGGATTGAACCATGACCTCCTGGTTCATAGGTCGATGCTCAACCACTGAGCCACACTGGTTGAGCCAGGGTCATATATTTTAGGGTCATTATTAAGAGTCATTATCCAACCTTGTTTTATGCCATAGCAACACTGAACAATTATTGACAAGAATTAGCTAAAAAGTACTGAGGCAGCCAGTAGTCAATAAGCATGTAATCTTTGGAGTCAAACAGACTTTGGTCCAAGTTTGATTCTAAAATATGTGACCTTGTGCACATTATCCAGGCTATCTAAAATTCAGCGTGTGTCACCTGCAAAATGGAAATAATAGCCTATAGTATTATGATTTAATGAGGCATTTAAACATTTAAACTGCATGGCACGTCAGCTGGCAGGTGTCCATCAACAATGGTGATGAAATCTAAAGCCACCTATCACCCAGTATTTATGCTAATGCAAGGTTGCAGATCGAGGACCATGGTGAGGAAAGAAGCTGGAATGGTTCCCATGTGTGCCTCAATCAAATAGGAAAAGGGCATATAACTCATCTCCCATTTCAGGACTTTCAGGTTGTAGAGTGGGGGAAGCATCCATAATAGGAAAGAGGTAAGAGACAGTCCAGAGCATTTGGAGCCCCCTTAAGTGCAGAAGCAAAATGAAAGGAAAACTAGTTCTGCCACATCTTTCTACTTTCATTACACACTTTGTGGAGATTTTTGTTTTTGTTTTTCCTTTTGTAATTATGACAGTCTTTTTTTATTTTTTATTCAGAGAGAGAGAGAGAGAAACATCAATAATGAGAGAGAATCATCGAGTGGCTGCCTCCTTGTACACCCCTACCGGGGATAGGGTGGGGTGGGGTAGGGATCTAGCCCAACCCAGACATGTGCCCTTGGCGGGCATCGAACCTAGGACCCTTTAGTCTGCAGGCGGATGCTCTATCCACTAAGCCAAACTGACTAGGGCACAGTATTGTTTTCTAACTGTTTATATCCCTTATTGCCTCTCCATTTTCATTTGGTTGTTGTTGCTCCAGCAATATTAAGATAAAGATATTTTCTTTTTCTGTGATTGACAAAAGTTGAATGTGAGAGCAGTAAAATTAAGTAAATATCTGAATTCAGAGCAATATTATTACCAATGTATTGTTTGTACTGTTTCGTTACAGCTTGTAGATTTTCAGTGGAAACTGGGCATGGCTGTGAGCTCAGACAGTTGCAGATCACTTAAGTATCCTTATGTTGCAGTGATGCTAAAAGTGGCAGATCATTCAGGCCAAGTAAAGACCAGGTCTTTTGAAATGACAATTCCACAGTTCCAGGTTTGTGATTTAATTCAGTCAATTGTAGCTCATTGTTCTGTCATTGCTGCTTAAAATGTATGAAATCTTTCTTAAGGGGAATATTGTTTTATTTACAGTTGTTTTGATGTGCTTTCTGTTTATTAGTATACAACATCTGAATTTGTTTCCTCTGGGAATTTGATAAGTTGTTTGCAATATAATATGCTGAATTTGTATACTATGACATCTGATCACTTTCACAGCTCTTTTCTGTAATATATTTAGAAAGTTTTCATTTCTCTTGCAGGATATTTACTTTGCTTTTAACTTTTTTATTCTTTTTAAGTTTAATATTTGAGAATGATAAGCTAAATGAATCTTATTTTCAATAGTGTTAACCTTGAATCTTCTGACTAATAATGTTTATAAAAAACAGATCAGAACACTAATACTTGATGATTAGTTCTGTTAGCTAGAGATTTGAGTATCTGAATAGTTCATATTTGGAGTCCTGTTAGTCATATTAGAATTCTACCTGTTTTCCGTAAGGAGAGAAGAAAAAAGAGGGTAGATGAGAAATTACATTTTTTTTAAAATGTACATACAGGGAAATGTGTTATCATTAACTAATTTAACTGGCCTTAGGGTTTTTGTTTTGTTTTTTTAAATTTTATTTCAAGCTATGTTGAATAGATAAGAATCTTCACAGTGTGTAAGAAAAACCTCTCATAAGCCACTTTTGAGTTTTTCTGATACTTTTTCCTCTCAGATTTATTAAGGTATAATTGACAAAAATTGTATATATCTAGGGTATCCAAGGCGATATTTTGGTCATATACACATTGTGAAATGATTACTACAATCAAGCTAATTAAAATACATCACTCACTTACTGTGTGTCTGTGTGGTGAGACCACTTAAGATCTGTTCTCCTGGCAACTTTCAAGCATATAACACATTATTATGTCGTCACCTTGATGTACATTATGTCTCCAAAACTTATTTGTCTTATAACTGAAAGTTTATAATTTGACAAGCATTTCCACATTTTTCCCACTCCAAGTCCTGGTAATTATCTACTCCTGTTACTATGAGTTTCAAGTTTTCAGATTGCATATATAAATGAGAGCATGCAATATTTGTCTTCCTGTGTCTTCCAGCTTGTAGGTTCATTCATGTTGTCAAAATAGAAGGATTTCCTTCTTTCTAAGGATGAATAGTATTCTGTTGTGTGTGTGTGTGTGTGTGTATTATATATATAATATATTTATATATAGTATGTATATATATTTATATTATATGTATTTTTATATATCACATTTTCTTTATTCCTTCATCTGTCAGCACATACTTAGGTTACTTCCATATGTTGGTTATGGCGAATATCGCTGCAGTGAATGTAGGAGTGCAGATAGGTCTTTGAGATAGTTATTTTATTTCCTTTGGAACAGAAGTGGGGTTGCTGGACCATGTGGTAGCTCTATTTTACAAATTACATTTTAAGGTTTTTTCCTCCTTTTGATTTCTTTCTTTTAAAACTGCTATCTCTGCTATAGAACAAAAAATAATGGTCACAGACTCATCATTAATAATGCTAAGTAATATCTTAAAGGAATTAGGACTTAATTAAAAAGGAAATAAATGTAGTATATTGTGATTTGTGAGTAGCCTTCAACTGAATATAAGAACCCCTTCGATTTCAAAAGAGAATATAAATTCCAGTTCTTTTTATAATTCAGAATCTTGGTCTAATTCTTATTTTTCTGTGTAGCCTTTATGCGCTCTGATTCCACCTGCAAGATTTTTTTTTCTCATAGGAAAAACACACACAAATGGGGCAACTCTTTTAAATTAGTTTTTACATGGCTTACCATCTAATAAAGAAAACAAAGCCTGTTAATAAGGAAAACAAACCCTTGGCAACATTCTTTGAGCTTTAAATTTATATCTTTTTTTGTAGCTAAAATTTTGACCTTGATTTTTACAGAGAGAAGGGAGAGGGAGTGAAAGAGAGAGAGAAACATTGATATGAATGTGAAACATCCATCTGCTGCCTCCTGTACAAACCTTCCTAGCAGGATCCGGGCTCACAACTCAGGCATGTACCCTGACTGGAAATCGAACAGGCAACCTATCGGTGCATAGACTAGGCCCAGCCAACTGAACCACACCAGCCAGGGCCATCTATACAATAAAAGCCTAAGCCACCGTTATGGCGGAATGACCAGAATGGCTGGTCGCTATGATGCACACTGACCATCAGGGGGCAGATGCTCAACACAGGAACTGCTCCCTGGTTATCAGTGTGCTCCTACAGGGGGAGTGCTGCTCAGCCAAAAGCCAGGCTCACAGCTGGCCAGTGCAGCAGCAGTAGCAGGGGCCTCGCCCGCCTCCACTGTAGCAGCCAGTAAGGAGCAAGGGGTCCTGGATTGTGAGAGCTTCAGACTGTGAGAGGGATGTCTGACTGCCAGCTTAGGTCCCCAGGGATTGGACCTAAGCCAGTAGTCAGGTATCCCCTGAGGGTTCCCGGACTGTGAGAGGATGCAGGCTGGGCTGAGGGAACCCCACGCCCCCCCGTGCATGAATTTTGTGTACCGGGCCTCTAGACAATATATATTTTGAAAGAAATAGTTACATGCTTCATTCCATAATCAATTTACATATAAATTAAAACAAAATGCACTCTTAAGTACCAGTAGAGAGTTAAAACTAAAAAAGAAAGAAAAGGCAAATGTGTAAATCAGTTTTGGTGAGGTTAAATTTTCAATTTGCCTCCCTACTTCCTGGCAGGTTGAAGGGAAGGAAGACAGAATATGTTTGATCTCTTTCTTATCCGAATTTGAAAAAAGAAGATGACTTCTACAGGAGAACTATCAGACTAGCCCAATTTTTAAATGAAATAAAAATAAGCTTCTATCATTTAAGCCATGGTCAATGTTGGGTCTCTCTTATTGCAATTGAACCCATATCTGAAATAAAACAGCCCTTATAACCCTGAAATACAGTCTTTCAACTAGATGTAAAGTGATTTGAGGCCTGAGAACTAACCTGTCATTTTTTGTTATTTTAATCTTCAGTGTCAAAGACAGTGCTGGCTAGTTAATAAATCTTTCTGGTGTGATCTCAAAATAACTTGTATACTTTTTGAAAAGTTTAGTTATGTGCTAGTTATCCAACTCTGCAATATTTTTGCTTATAGTACCAAAGTATGTCTTTTTTTTTTTTTCCCCCTCAGAGTAACCTTCAACAATATCACATTCAAATATAATCTTAATGTTATATAGCCTCTGGTGGTCAGATATTATTACCTCTGAAAGCAAAATTAACATTATTTTTCTCCTTTCCAGAATTTCTACAGACAGTTCAAGGAAATTGCTGCAATTATTGAGACTGTGTGAAAACTGATTACTTGGTTGGTAAATTGCTACCATCGTTCTAAAATCATGGACTTCACTTTCTGCAATATAACTGCATGAGGATCAGATGACTTTTTTATTGAAAGAAAATTATACTTTTGTTTTCCCATTTTTTTAATAATAAAAAAATTAGACAAACAGGAATTAGATCAGAGGTGATCAGTGCATTTATAGATGTGAACGTACTAAAAGCCACTGAATTTGTTATCAGCAGAAGCGGAGTTCTTGGAGTGTCATGGAGAAAATAATTTCCTGAGGCCTCCTCAGGAGGATGGGGTTTCATGGAAAACTTTATGATGTAAAATTCAGGGGATTTTCCTCCAAGGTCCCATCCACCACGGAAAAAGTCTATTCATATCTTCAGCAAGGGCCAGGGTTAAGGCCACTGCTCAGAGTTTCCACTCCAAATGAAAATCCAGTCCAGTCCAGCATCTGGCTAGCTGACTCATGTTCCCGGCTGCATTTCATTGCGTGTGGGGCCTGCATTGCCCTGAGCCCTGTGCCTATGGAGAGGAAATAGGCATGTGCGCAGGCAAGTGCAGGTCATGGAGCAAGAGATCAAGAGGAAATAAGGAGCACAAGAGAGAGGGAATTCTGAGAATTTTATCCTTCCAAGATGTGTGCTTGCAGTAGCTCTGCCCTCCTAGCCAAATTATCTTTTTTTCAGGCTACACTGGCAGGCAAGCTTCTTCCCTACATCACCCTGACTTCACTGCACATGTGCCATGTCCCCCTTTCGTGAGTCCTTTCCCTCAATGATCTGCAGGGAACGGACCTGTGATTCCCTGGGAAAGGTGAAGCTGAGCTTCCTGGTGAAGCTGCCCAGATGACCATGTTTATAATGTCTGGCCTCCTCTCTGTTCTTTTCCTGTTATTAACTAGCTAGTTGTAACAACAAATTGAACACTTTGAAGGGGGAACTCAGTGGTATGTGAATTACATATCAATAAAAAATAATGAATGAAAACATTGAGAAGGATGATTACTTTATAAATTCAATAACACAATGTTAATTACTATAACAGCAATCAGTGAGAAGAGTGAGTTTGCTCTCAAACATTTGAAATCAGGTTAGGATTGACCATTGTTTCTTTATATTAGCCAAGCATTCAATTATTTCTGTTATTAATTTTTATAGAAAGTTCAAATATATGCCCAGAGATAAGTTTTATTCTGAATTCTGATTACAACTGAATTAGCATGTTAGTAAAGTTAACATTTTACATGATCTTTGTTGAATTGATAAACCAATTGTTAGCAAGTTTTTTAATAGGAAGCCACAGCAATCAGCACATATGGCATTACTTGGGAATGGGAAAATAGATCACTAGAATAGCCTAGGTGGCCTACAAATAGATCAAAACATTAAAAAAAAAAACAAAAAAAAAAACTTTTATTGATTTTTTTTTTTTTTACAGAGAGGAAGGGAGAGAAATAGTTAGAAACATCTATTAGAGTCATCGATCAGCTGTCTCTTGCACGCCTCCTACTGGGGATGTGCCCGCAACCAAGGTACATGCCCTTGACGGGAATCGAACCCGGGACCCTTTAGTACGCAAGCTGACGCTCTATCCACTGAGCAAAACCGGTTTTGGCAGATCAAAACATTTTGAACAAGGATGGTACTTCATCTAGGTGGGAAAATGTGATTATTTAATAAATGATACTAGCAGTTACAATATTTGCAAAAATAAATAATTCCAGATTAATGAATTAAATAGAAAAAATAAAAATCAGAAGTCTTAGAGAATATTTATGTTAACTAAGGCTTGGGAAGATAGAAACCTCATAGCTATCATATAAAGCATATTTATTTGAAAATAAAAATTGAACATTTGTAGAAAAACAGTGGGTCATATACAAAGACAGCCACTGGGTTGATATATAAGTTAGTGCTTTAAATATTTCAAGTAGGAAGAGAGTTGAACAAGAAATTAGACGTTCACTAAACTGTCAGAAAGACTGAGGGAAGTCGGAAGGGAGGGCTGGCTTTAGAAAACCCTGTGGTGCAGGAATTCCAGGGAAGGCCTCTGCCAGCAGACTGCACAATGCCGCTCATCACCTGGAAGCCACTGAACCACGGGCTCTTCTGCCATCTGTCCGTGCGGGCCTCATCACGTGGAAGTTAACCCAGGGCCCTGCTGACACAAATTTCGCCAACTGAATTTCCAGGTAGTGTCTATAAAGGGTAGATTTAGAAAGAATGGTGCTGAGGATAGGGAAACCTCGCCATCTTGAGAGGAAGATAGGATCGTGTTAGAGGCCTGAATATCCACAGCCGCAGCGACCAACAAGCAACTGTGACCCCCAGAACGCGGATCCCAGGCGGCGCGAACACCTGGCCCCACAGGAGTGCCCCACTGCTCGGCGAAAAGGTCAGATTTCGCGGGGAGAGGGTGGAGCGCACTCGCGGTGAAAACAAAGCCTGCGCGCACAGAGCGCGCGGAAGCTGGAGGACAAGGGCGGCGATTACAAGTAGAAGCCTTGCTGTTGGGCGAGTGTCACCCGTGAAAGTGGACGGGGCTCCTAACAGGGGAGATATCTAAAGAGCAACACATTTGGATCTGGCGCGGAGGGGTATCGGAGAGTTGCAGGAGATTGAGGTTGCTCGGACCTGCCCCCTCCATAGTTCCTGCTTCAGAGAGGACTAAAAAAAAAAAAAAAAAAAAAAAGCTGGAGAGGCTCTAGAGTCTGGGAAGTCAACCTAGAAACACTGCCCCCAGAGGCTAATTCACAAATTGACTCTAGTGTAATAAAAACAAAGCAAAACCCGCCTAAAAATCAGGACTGGATCATAACAATAGAGGAAGCGAATGACCTTCATTTCTGCAAATTTTATTTAAATTTTTTAAATTTTATTAATTTTTAAATTTTTAAATTTTTGTTTTTTATTTTTGATTTCATTATTTGCAACATTTACTCAAGAAACTATTTTTTTTCTTTTTCCTCACTTGATTTTATCTTTATAATTACTACATTATACTACTACTAAGTTACCTTTTTCATCTTATTTTTTTGTTTATTTTTATTATTTTTATTTCATTTGATTATATATATATATATATATATATATATATATATATATATATATTTTTTTTTTTTTTAAATTTCAGGATTACTGTTCTACAGGCTTTATCTATCTTTCCTTCTCCAACGCTTTATTCTATCTCAACCTATCCTTTATGCCTTCACCCTCTTTCCGATATTTTCCTTTGGTACCCCGTTTATCTTAACCCTTTCTTGCTCTAGATTTTCCCCATTCCTTCTGTCTACCTCCTCCTAAAATTTCACCCTACTTCTATATATCTAATTTCCAACTACTTGCTCCGAGCCCATTTACACCTCCCTTGCAGTTATCCTAAAAACAAAACAAAACAAAAGTCTTTCTCTCTAACACTTTGAAGTTGTATGTTGAATGTCAACTATACTGAAGTTGTATGCTTTTGTTTATAAGATTGATTTGATATGCTTTTTGTTTGATTGTATGTTTTTGCTAGCTGGGTTCTAGTCACCCTTATTGGTGGTTATTAATATTTCAAACACATCCCGATTCAGTCCCCTGTGTGTTGTACCTGGTTGTGTTGTATTTGGTGCCTTTAAATCAAAGCAGGAGAGAGAGAGAACTACACAACCAGACATCCTAGATCATGGGGAGACCAAAACATAGCCCGCATATGAAAGAAAAGCAGGCCTCACCAGAAAAGGAAGTAAACGAGATAGAGGGAAGCAACCTACCAGAGCAAGAATTCAGAGTAATGATCATAAGATGGCTAAAAAGAATGTAAGACAAATTTGACAATATGAGTAAAAACCAAGAGGAAATGAAGAAGAACCAAGAAGAAATGAAAAATGACATCGCTACTGTAAAGAACTCAATAGAAAGCATCAAGAGTAGATTAGAAGAAGCAGAGGACCGCATCAGCGAGCTAGAAGACAAGATGGAAAAACATACCCAATTAGAACAGCTTCTGGAAAAAAAAATTAAAAAACAGGAGGAAAGTCTAAGGGAACTCTGGGACAATACAAAACAAAACAATATTAGAGTAATAGGGGTTCCAGAAGGACAGGGAATTGAGGAAGACATGGAAAACGTATTTCAAGAAATAATGACAGAAAACTTTCCTGAGATAGAGAAGAAAAAACCCACACAAATCCAAGATGCTCGCAGAGTCCCAAGCAAAATGAACCCCAGAAAATCAACCCCTAGACACATTATAATTAAGCTGGCAAACACCTACGACAAAAAAAGAATTTTAAAAGCAGCCAGAGAGAGACAGAAAGTTACATATAAAGGAACCCCCATCAGACTAGCAACTGATTTCTCCACAGAAACTTATCAGGCCAGAAGGGAATGGGATGAAATATACAAAGTCATGCAAAGGAAGGGTCTGAATCCAAGAATACTGTACCCAGCAAGGCTATCAATCAAAATTGAAGGGGAAATCAGGAGCTTCACAGACAAAAACAGACTAAGGGAATTTATCTCCACCAAACCAGCAATGCAAGAAATGCTAACGGGTCTACTGTAAAGTTAAAGAAACAGAAAGCAAAGAAGGAACACAGGGGTATAGAATAAAAATGGCGTCAAATAAGTATCTATCATTTATAACTTTAAATGTAAATGGACTAAATGCTCCAATCAAAAGACATAGGGTAACGGATTGGATAAGAAAACAAGACCCATATATCTGTTGTCTACAAGAAACCCACCTCAGAAAAAAAGATGCACACAGACTGAGGGTGAAGGGATGGAAAAAGGTTTTCCAGGCGAATGGAAATGGAAAAAAAGCTGGGGTAGCAATACTTATATCTGACAAATTAGATCTCAGAGTGAAGGACATAACAAGAGATAATGAAGGTCACTTCATAATACTAAAGGGAGCAATCCAACAAGAAGAAATAACCCTGGTAAATATATATGCACCCAATACGGGAGCACCCCAATATATAAAAAAACTGCTGGAGGACATTAAGGGAGAGAT